ATGTCCATATAGGACGAAACTGCAGTAACATCTGTTACAAATAAAAGTGGTGAGTGATTTTCTACCACGTACACGGCTACATCCACGGCTACATCCATCAATTTATTATCCTGAAATTAGTTTAGTATTTACAAATGGTTAGTCACTTTCCCCAAGCATTGGGCGAAAGATGCAGATTTCATGTTGGAATATCAATGTATATATAATATATTTTGTATTTTTTTTTCAGCCAAATATGTTTCTATCTATCAAACAGACAGAAAGAAATATTCCTTTCTTTATTGTTCACATATACCAATTAAATTATCTAAAAGAACAATTTCCTCTGGTCAGTCTCAACTCACCTACTCTGTCAGTTTCAAGTATGCCCCTTTACTATATGTGAAATTTTTTCCTTACACGAGGAATTAGGTAAATTTTGGATATGCGGTTGGTTACCTCGTTTACGGGCAGATGGGGTGATGACAAATATGTTGTTTGTCGTTCGCTTTAGCCTAGTTCGAGTAATGATACTCTGGAAGGAATTCGATTCTCAATTATGGGAAGTCATCGACTTCATGTTGATTATGGACACTACCTTGCACTGACGATACTGGGCTAAATAGCCCAAAATCGGTGTGCAAGTATGTTCCATTGAATGAAAATTGATTCCGGCAGTTGTATGGCCAAAAGCATATGCAGGAATTCCTTCTGTGAAAAGTCCTGCAATAACACCCTGCGTGGTACTAGCCAGGGGAGTAGTTATTTTTAGACAGGTGTCAGTCCATTAACCTACCGTGTAGGTGAGTTGAGACTGGCCTGATGATTTGATTCACAGCCAGTCTTCAAGTATGCCCACTTACTATATGTGAAATATTCTCAATTAGTTCACGTATCGATGGCGTCTTCAACTTTTTTTTTGTTTCAGATTCTGGCGTCACTGAAATTTGATTGGTGAGTTATTAGTTGTTTAACAAAACATTGATAGTTTGTTATATGCAATCATTCGAATGTTTTATTTCTATGATTTGATCTTCTAATCAACATTTGAGTTGAGTATATGTTTGGCAACAAACTTCCGCTTAGAAGGCCATCCATAATTTTAAATCTTACGATCCGTCGTTTTGTCACTGAAACATTCAATGTGACAGAACTGAATTTCCGCAGTATGGGAATTCATACAAAATGTCTTGTTTTATTTGGGAAAGTTAATCCCAAAAATAATATTTGAAACATATCCTGTAATCAAATCAAGTGGAAGCAGAGATTTCAACAGAAAGAGGGTTTATATAACAAGTTTCTAACATTGAATTACCAAAATTGAGTAGTTATTTCAAAAATATTTCATACAGGTATTGATGTTCAAATACCATTTGGTAAATTAAAAAAAATTATATCAAGTTAATAGAATAGATCATACAATTTGTCATTAAAAATTCTTTGATTACTTCATTGGTACACCTTCTAATCGTCTTTCAAACTGCAATACTAAATATACTATTTTCCTTACCAAGTTCGATGATTCATATATTTTTGGTCTTTTCTTTTCAAATTGACCACCATCAATCAGGTTGTGTTGCAATCTTGCCTAAATGTCTCTAAAAGGTTGTCTTCTCTCTGGATACTTCTCGTGATAAAAATTGCTTGCTGCCTCTGCATTTTCTTCGGTTTGTACAGTGCATTTCTTCAATGTCCCCCCTCCCTTTTATTTTTTGAACGGGTCAACTAAAAAAATTGAAATTTGGAACAATGAAATTAATCCACGAATACTTTATTTTGAAGTGAAATTGACAGATGAAATTTTCAAGATGGCGACTGGGT